TATATTCATATTCTGTCTTGCTTCTTGCAACTTCTTTCTGGTAGTTTAAACTTTTTCTGCTTTTTAAGCTACCTTTTTTATTCTTTTAACTTTTGCTACGCTCTGCAGGTTATTTGACACATTTTTGCCTTTTTCTACAAATTTTTCTCTTTTGTTGTCCTACTTTCAGCAAAAGTCAGCTGTTTAACTCGCATTAACAGTTAAACCTCTAAACAAATAGAATTCACACTACATTTTTGCAGGAAATACAAACTCTCTAGTTTTGCTTGTGTTTGTTGGAAGTTTCTCAACTCTTTCTAAAATTAAAAACAGCATCAGCCAGACTTTATAACAAAGTAAYCCTTCACTATTTCCGATCTTTCAGGACACAAAATGTTTCATGTGCGACTCCAGAGAAATGTACGATGAGGACACCAACCCCAGCAGCCACACCATCGAGAACGTGGTCACCACCTTCGCCCCCAACCGCTTAAAGACCTGGTGGCAGTCGGAGAACGGTGAGAGACAGAAAACAGAGAGACCACTGAGTTCTACTCGTGGGAATCCAGCTCCATAATGACTAGCCTGGAGATCACAGAGACCCTCACACACAGAGTGGGGCTGAGGTGGTGGAGCCTACAGGTGTGCTGAGGGGAAAAGGTGTGCTTGTAGYAAAACAGATATATCATCACCACAGCACACAAGTGACTTTAAAGAGTAAGAAAGGAAGTCCATAAAGACACAGCTGGGCTTTAAGAGATCTGCTGGGACAATGACAAGTGTTTAAGGGTATTATTGTCTCAAAGACAGGAAATTCAGCTTGAACCCAAGATCAAAATGGGAATTTTACCCATGCAAGCCTGTTTCTATTGTTTAATGTTTAATTTTATAAGTTAGCTTGGATTTCTTCAAGACAGATACTTACACAACCACTGCACTAATTCATTATTGTTTAATTTAACATATTTATCAATTAGCACTTAATTGTTCACATTCCCAACAGGAAAAACACCAATTAGACCCAACAGTTTTAAACTTCATGAGACTTTAGGTTATTAAGAGGTAAGTTTTACAACTGAGTTAAAGAATAATTTAAGACATGCACAGCAAGCTAACATGCTAAGTAGTTTAATAAACATTAGCTCAATACTGACAGTAGTAAGCTTACTGACTAGGTAGCTCATTATTAGTAAGATATTTAGCGGATGGGTAAGTAGGTAGGTAGGTAGGTAGGTAGGTAGGTAGGTAGGTAGGTAGGTAGGTAGGTAGGTAGGTAGGTAGGTA